CTTCCTTCTGAGGAGTGGCTGGTGGGTTTGAACCGCCAGCCTTCTGGTTAGCAGTCAAATGCTTTAGGCATTACACCACCAGAGCTCCTAACTATAGGAGTTCTTATAATTGGGAAGGTGACCTGGGACAAGGATATGAAGGAAAAGGTGAGACTAGGAAGCTTAGCTCAGGCTAGCAAGAGGTGAGAGGAGCATCTCACCAGGGAGAAGTTAAGGAGTACCAATAATAACATAACTATTAACATTACTGAGCTCTTATTAGATGTCTCCCTAAACTCTTTACTTGGATTATCTTATTTAAACATTCTAACAATCTCATGAGGTAGTTATAATAGTCTCAATTTTAATGAAACACTGAGGTTCAGAAAGACTGAGTAATTTGCCAAAGGTCACACAGCCAAGAGGTGATTGAGCGAGGACGAGAAGCCTTGTCTGACCCCCAAGTTCAAGCTTATAGACACTGAACAACATACCCAAAGTCACTCAACTCTCCTACCTGAGCCTGCAGAGCTCCAGCTGATCTACTATCCAGCCTAGCAACTCCTGAATCAGCAAATCCCTTAGCAAATCTTCATCTCTGGAGTTCTTGGGTGGGGAGCTGCAAAGGAGAAAGCCTCTGGCAGGAAGTCTTAGCCTGGGTCCTACTCAGAATAAGCACAGGGCCTGGGGCACCAAGGGCTGGGGTGGGGGTGGGGAGAATCAACACAGCTGCCTCTCAATTATCTCAGCTTTCAAACCCCAGGCACCTTTCCGGTAGCTTCACCCATAGCTCCACCCAGCTTCCCCTGCCTAGGGAAGATGGGCTCTTCAATACAGGCAAAGCCAAACAGAATTCTGGTGTGAGATAGCCCACCCATCCACCTTATAAAACATCCCAGAAGGCATTTCCAAAACTAGAAAGGTTACTTTGGGGACATTCACTTGTTAAAATGTTCTGTGCCACAAATGCCTTGCTTTCCTCAGAGAGAGTAACTGATTTCAGAGGACTGTCCTTGGGAGGGTCTCCCCACTCCACAAACAGTCTTCCTGAGGTTTGACAGGGAGAAGTGGGAAGCCCAGTTCCTGTCCTTCCATGCCTCTGTCCTTGCCCCAGTAACTCTGTCTGCACACTAAGTCATCAACTTTAGAAACCCTAGCCCAGAAGCACCTCCCAAAGCCCCTCCCCCACACCTCCAAGGCTTCTTCCTTAAGCCTGAACTGACCTCCAGGAGTTTGCTCAGTGAAGACCCCTCTTTGAACTCTTGAGTAGAAGGGGATGCTTATCACAGGCCCTTGCTCTGCCCAGGAGTCCAGGACAGAGAACAATGAAATGGGGACGGATCAGAAGTCAAGAGCCCACCTCTCCCCAACCCCTTCCCCCGACCCACCTCTGATTCTCCTTTGCCTCTTTCCTGTTAGATTGACTGGCCAGCTCTCGGGCCTGGGCCTCCCTCTGGGTGATGTTGTGTTTCCAGCTGGTAAAATAAAGATCAGAGAGTGGGTGGGGCTGGGGGAGGCTCCAGGCTTTCTTTAGTCCAGGTCCTCTTGAATCTTTTGGTACCTCAACCTTAGGAGCAGAGGGTACTCTACTTGATCTCCTACTCCTCACCTTTAGCTGCCCCCACCAGTGAACAGCGTTTCAGAACCTACCATGCTGCCCAAACATCAGGGTCAGAGAAAGAGACATGGCAGAGAGAAAGGAGAAGGGAGCAGTTATCCTATTTCTAAAGTCTGAAATTGCCACCACCAGTCATTGGAAGCAGCTCAGTTCCTCTTGCCTTCATCCTCACCCCTTGAGGGTCCTCCATGTGTTCCCACACATCTCCCCAACACCTCCTCTTTAGAAGTAAAACCAAAAACCAGTTGCCGTAGAGTTGAGTCCACCTTGCAGCGACCTGGTGTGTGTCAGTATAGAACTGGTCTCTACAGGGTTTTCAATGGCTGGTTTTTCCAAAGTAGATCACTAGATTTTTCTTTGTTGGTGCATCGGGGTGGACTCGAACCCCCAACCTTTTGGTTAGCAGCTGAGTGCATTAACCATTTTGTATTGCCCAGGGACTCTGCTAGAAGTAAAGGATTGAGAAATCACCCTCCCTGTCCCCAGACTGGACTGCTATCTCAGTCAGGGTCCAGCCAGGCCACCATGGCCAGGACAACTCCCCAACATTGTCTAAATGAAAGATGCCACCTGAAGTGGTGTATTCCATGCCTATGTGGCCACGTTTGGCAACCTGGGCTGAACACAGGAAGAGAGAACCCTGGGGGCATGAAACAAGAGGAGATGTGCACAAAGACTCACTCATTCTTCTTCCCTTTCTGGGCCAGTAGCCAGTTCACAAAGTCTTGTTGGCGGATCTTGTCCATGGCAATGCTGTAGTCACTGATGAAAGTACCCTCAGCATATCTTGGGCCTCGAGGTTGAGGACTGCTGACCTTAGGGTTGGGTCTTCAGGGCAATGAGGGGAGAAAGAGAGAAAACCAGGATGTCAGGGAAGGAGCAGAGAGCAGGAAATCAAGAAGTCAGCATGAAAGTTTGTTGCTAACAGGAAATAGGCATTTGAAAGCAAACTAGCACATTTCTTGGGAAGTAGTTATGATGGAGACCCCTTTTGTCATTCCATCAACCTCTTGAAGACTTGTTCTGAAGCCCAAGGATCCATCCTCCTGCATCCTCAGTGTGTGTGCCTCTGGATTCTGAGCCAAGAGGGACCCAGGTTCCTCTCATCACAAAGGGCCGAATCATACAGTTCCCCACTTTACCCCTCGTGCCCTGGCCCTTCCTGATTCGGTTCTTTGGTTAACATTCAATCACAAAGATAGTGAACTCTTTGAGTACAGCCCTTACCGTGAGTCAGGAACTCTTATTAGTCTCTAATACATAAACTCATTTTATCCTCACAGCTCCCCTATAAGGTAGATACTATTTATCATCTCCACTTTATAAATGAAGAAACCAAGATGCAGAGAGATAAATTTAATCATAGAGCATAAGCGACAGGTCCAGGATTTACCCCCCAAGGAGTGTGGCCCCAGGTCTAGGTGCTTAAGGTCTGCATGATGCTGCCTCTCTGCATACACACACATCCCTGATATCTCATGCCTGAAATGCACATGGGCATAGGGTTTGCCGTCAAAGCTTTATCCAGGAAGGATAAAGCAGTGAAGGCATCTGAGAAGGCCTAATTCTTCCCTCAGAAAAGTCTCTCTTGGTCCCTGAAAACCAGAGTCAGAGCCCCTTTACTTATTCCCTCATAATACTCTCTGCTTGTCCTCACAGGATTCATGACACTTTGCAACATGACTCTGTGGTTCTTCATGCCGCTTGGACCTATATACTCCATGAGGACAGGAGCCATTTGTGGCCCTTCATTTACATAGATCCTTTGTGCGTAGCCCACAGGAGGCCCTCTATAAAATTGTATTGTTGTTGTTATGTGCTGTGGAGTCGGACCCAACTCATAGTGACCCCTCCTTGGGTTTCCGAGGCAGTATCACTACAGAAGTAGATTGCCCCATCTTCCTTCTGAGGAGTGGCTGGTGGG